GTGCATGTAGATGGTCCTTGCAAGCGCAGCTGAACAACGCAGCTGGTCCTTTCCGCCCAAGGAGTGTGGTGACAAAGCGACCTAATTCGTCTTGGCCCGAAGCAGCAATGAATTGATTATTGCCTGGTAGCTGAACTCCAGAAAGCACGAGAACCAACTCAGAATCCAACGTAGGAGTTGGATATTGGAATTGGGCTAAGCCTTCCAATAATGCCACTGCTAGTACTGCCCAGGCCTCAGCCCTAGGTCGTACCTGCTCACACCTATTCCAGCCGTTCTTGCCGAATGGTCATGTGTGCGCAGGGCAGGTGCAGGCCTCTGCTCCTGCAGTGCGGAGTCTGTACTACTTCTGTCTCTGCTGTGCTATCAGTTCTGATGAAGGCGCACCCAATCCTCATCAATTCGAAAGGAAAAAAAATGCTTTCCCGCAGAGGTACGGGGTCTCACGAATACTGCCCTGGCACATGGGTCTGGTTCGCGCCTTGTGTGCTCGGAGAATAAACAGCTGTACGAACCCCGTTAGTGCATCGACTATCAGTCCATACATGGACCCATTTGCACTTGCCATCTGTAGGTGACACACTACTTGCCTTTGGTTTGTATTTTTTGCTTTGGTAAGGTATAGGCACACAAGAAAGTTGTCTGACTTCAAGAGAGATATCCTTATGGCCATTCCCTGATGAGAATGGGAAGTAGAGATACTCGGCGTCTCGTTGAATATTGCACTCGCTCTTTACCCTTCTCCAGCTCCTCGAATCAGAGGGTGCCTGGAATAGGTATGTTATTTGGTTTCTCAATCCGAAGGATATGGTCACCGTGCCAGAGATCCTCTCAATACTGTTGCATTTCAATCATACCAATCATACTAGCATCTCTGGAGCTTCCAGCAGCTACCCTGGCGATCTACCTTCCAATGTGAAAACTCAGGTAAGGAGAAGGGGGGATGCCTTCCTTCGCTGCCCGCATATGCCTCATTGCTGATACAGCCATGCTGGCGGAGGAATTCCATCATTACCAGGCCAGAGCTCGACTTCCACTTCTTTGCCTCCAGAGACTTGATGACCTGGTTGACGGATCGCGGGAAAAATCTACCAATGGCCATATTATCTTTCGCTGGGCTTGGCGTAACCTTGGCCATGAGCTTGAGGTCATAGCAAAAACGAATACCCGGCTCAATGTGGCCTACTTCTTTGATGCCAGCGGCCTCATCTTTCTTGGTGCAGAAGTAAATCATCCCGCTGTCTTTGACATCGCCGACCTTGCTTATCACACCGACCTTGTTTCTTTGGTGCATAGACTTGCAATCAACGTCTAGCTGCCAACCAGCCTCTTCTTGAGCCTCACGCCCGAGAGCTGTTGAGGGATCAAAATTATCCTCAGGGTCCATTGCTCCAGCGACAATCTGATCAAAGCATCCAGGAAAGGTAGCGTGATCTGACCGCTGGGAGACCCAAATCTGGTCAATCTTCTCCAACCCGTCCTCTATTTTTACGCTATATACATTGAGATGAACCCCAGCAGTAAGGATTCCGAAGATCCCCCGCGCGGGGGACGGAACTTGAAGCCTCCTTAGTTCCTTATCGGGGGCAAGAACAGGATGGAACCCAAGATCCCGCATTTCCATGTGATGCTTGGCGCTTTGGTTCTTCTGGGTACACCATGGTTTCAGCCCGGCAGCAAACGCGGGGTGATGTTGGTACATCTCACAGAACTCTTCAAGAGCTCTATTGCAGCTGTCTATGATGAGCTCTCCATTGAGGCTACTTGGCTTCAGTCGGATGGTCTTAGATTTCGTGTCCACTTCGAAATTGGGATTGGATTCGGCGTGCAAATCGGATTTTGTCTTGTGCCAGCCAAGAGCGTCGACGAACTCATCGAGCATATAACCTATCGGAGTATTCGTGTCAAGAACTAAAAAAGCCCACTGAGAAGTAAGTCGTGCGTGGTCGAAGTTGTTCCAGGATAAGAAGGCATGTTGGAGAGCCATTGACTACTTTTGGGCCAAGTAGAATGAGAATTCGGTTTGATGAGCCAACTAGGTATGGCGATTCGATTCTCCTCAAGTAATACTCTTAACAAAAAACACAAGTCTTTTTGTTGCGGTTCGAGTTGGTGGTGGTGGTTGATGGTTACTCCCTGGGCAGCCGACGCTTTTGGTTTCACCTCCGGGACTGTTTGCAAACTTGACTGACCTGTAGAAGACGACCCAATGATCTTGATGACGTTGAAGCGAGCGCAGGAGCAGAATACGAAGAAGCTGTGGAGGGCAAGTCTCGATTTTTGAAGCCGTGCTTGAAACATTCTTTTGCCCGGCTAGCAGAGACCACTCAGAGCGAACCAAGAAGCTCGACTGCGAAACAATGTGCGCAAGGCAGCTGAACCAGAAAGCCGAATGGCCCGTATCACCTCCATCTTCAAACCACAGCAACAAATAAGCAAATCCTGAGTGCCTTTGCGGTCAATTGGTGCGCTCGTTCCCAAGTCATATCCCGGACAAGGCTTGCGGGATGTAGTGTAACAAAAAACCGGTCAAAGGTCTCCAGTACCACACATTGTTCACTAGTAAGGTACACTCAAGCCCAACGAAAGCTTCAAAAGAGTCACAGGCCAAGTACTTTCAAGTTGAGCTGGCCGCCGGTTACCCCAGGGCGGGTATGTATATATTTATACGTATGAACTTCCAACAACGCAGACGCTATGCATCAAAAGACAATCTCCTTCCGTCATACGGGAATAAGTATGCTGATCATCGTGTTCTTTTTTTCAGCCCCAATTCATTCTTCTGTGTGTTCCCATCCCACTTGTGTTATCCCCCATTTGAAATCCCCCAAACACACCGGGCTTTGATCGAGGTCGGTTCTGGTATTCACCTCCTCCCCGGTTGTTACCCTTCCGCGGCCTCAATCCAATTGGTGCTTGATTTTCGGCGTCTTTGTGTACCGACTTCCTTTGCAAACGGCTTAGGAAAGATGCTGTGGTCTGCTTCAGAGCCACTCGTGAGAGCTGCGTCGGAGTCGCGGTGTCTCCAGTACGCCGCGCATTCGGCACAGACTTGTTCGAAGGGCTCGGCGCTTAGGCGATAGCTTGGGGTAGGGCACCTGCGAGAACATGCCTCGAAGCCAATGACCGTTTCACCCATTTTCGATCCGCAATCCTCGCACACCCTCTCGGCGATGATACGGTGGCACATGGTAGGCAGGGAAGGCTACTGATAGCCCGCAGTTGGGCTTTTGGTAGGTAGCGGTAGGTTATGTTGAATTATTGTTTGATGTGTTGGTTACTGCTGGGAAGGAGAAAACCTTTGCATCTGGTCGTCACTTCTCACATGAAGGGCAGCATTGTGTCTACAGTACCAGCCTCAGGAAGGGACGTGTATCCAAGGCGCGCCCAGGTGTCACTTTTATATTATCTTATGCTGCTGTGACCAGGCGGGGAATGCGGCCCAAGCCACAAGTGCCGCTTGGGTTGAGACATTCGCCCTCAGCGAGAGAACACCCTCCTTTCATGTAAGGTTTGCCCAACGGACGGAACGAGCGATCCGGGTGACTGGCCAATGACGGAGGGTTGGGGAGGCAAAAAGGAGGACACTCGATTGTTCACATATGGAATTACGACTAGGCTCAAGTAGACAAAGCCTAAGCAACTCTAGCATTACCTGCCACTATCCTGGTTTCCATCTCACACGGACCAAAAACAATTACAAGAGCCATCTCTTTTGATGAGACTGTCTTACAAAAAATTTGCGAAAATCTCACTTCAGCCACACTGTATGTCTTTGAACGCGATGAGCCAAGACTTACGCATCGGGATGAAGGAAACCAAACTTTGTACCCAAGACCAGCCAAGGCCAACGTTGGGACTAGTTATGCCCTCAACCTTGGGCGGGAGCGCCGCCTCCAATCAGAACATGTTGGGGTCACACCCTCCAAGGGTCTTCCCCTCCCCCCACTAGGGATCAAAGAAGAGACCAATTTGCATATTGAGCATCGGGGTGGCTCGGCGCAGCTGGAGTTGGTCCACGCGTGCTTTTGGCTGGTAGACAGAGAGCCACGTCGGATTACCTGTATGTAACATTGGGTGAGCGAGGCGTTCTAGAACCGCTGCGGACGGGAGCCAAAAAGGATCACAAGACCCGGCCGCTGCGGAGTTGTAAGCGTTGGCCAGGTTGGAATACATGCGGCCAGCGTGGGCGGTCATTCCGACGTGATGCCGGTGGGCACAACGAAACCCGTTGGCACGACACTTTTTTTGAGTTTGCCATTTCCCCGCTGTTACGGTTGGACGATGATTACGGTAACGTGATTATCTAGCATGTATGGTGAGGCATATTGGGGGGCCGGCGTGAAGGTTTGATAAGGAGGGCTCTGGACTGAATAGGCCGAGCGGATAGCTGCGAGCAGACGTGGTTCGAATGAAGCGCATCAACCAGTCACTCACTCATCTTGTACGGCTTTCTAAGTCGCAATGAGCCAGCTGATGCTACCTTGCCATCCGTCGCAAGAGGGTTTGGAATTGACACAACGTTGTAGATTCCCATAGTTTAGCTCAGAATGAAGAAGGCCTAGTATGGGCCGAATGAGATTGCCTAGTGATGTGCAATCGAGATGGACCGTTGGATGAGAATGAGGGTGTGCACAGGCGGTTATCCTTCACCGAGGTCAAATGGTAATGATGGCATCATATTAGCAAGCAGTGGGAACAGTTGAGTAACGCCTGTCAATCTAATCAAGGAACACTAGCCCAGGCCACGCACGCTATCCGGCCATCATGGTTGAGGGGAAAAGCTTGGGGAACAAACAGTGTTGATAGTGACATCTTTATGATCCTTGGAGTGAACATGGTGCCTGAAATGCCGATGTTCAATTGAATAGCGCTGATTGGCCGGGGCTGGCTTACATAATATTTGCTCTCAAGGACAACCTCAGGTCGGCGATCGGCTATGGAGAAACACCAGCTTCAATTGACGAACCGACCCAATTGACGACGTCAGCTCGCTCAAAATGTTCGCCGCACGACAACGGGTGAGCCAGATGGCTCGCCAGCTGCCTCGGGTATCGCGAAAATACGCCTCCGACGCCCACCACGGCCACCACGCTCCGCACACAGTCAACGAGTCCTTCGGGGTACGGATCGCCTAAAACCCTCGTCAGCGCGCGACGAAGCCATCGCCTTGCTAACTCAATTCTAATAGACCGGATCCCTCGCTGCCGTCGGAGTCTTCTTCGCTGGAGCTCTGGTCTTTTCGCTTTCCCCCAGCGAGGGTGAGAACTCAGCCATCTACAACCTCATCAACAAATACACCTCCAGAAACGAGGACTGGGAGGAGATCAACCACGCTCACAGCGCGGCCGCTCGCCAGGCCGGCTTCGACCGAAACCTTTTCCAGTACGGTGGTTCTGGAAACCGCCATGTTGAGGTGGCCTACCCCGAGTATGTCGTCCCAGTACCCCCGGAGCTGAGCTTCTTTCAGAGACTAACGCTGCGATCTTTTTTCTACCAGGGCTCTCCAATCCCATGGCGCACGCAACATCCGAGCTGGCCAGCTTATCAACATTGAGAAGGTTGTGGAACACATGAGACAAGAGCACCTGAAGGAGGAGGAACAGAAAGTAAAGGCTCTGGCATTGGCACAGAGCAAGGAGGAATAGAGCATGTGTATATATTAAACCAACTGGCTACCAGGAGACTAACGTTCACTCAAAAGAAGAGGAATCTATCTACTTTGTTAAAGAATATTTTCACTATTCATTCATGGCGCCGTAGTCCCCTAACCTGTATGGCTGTCGATTCACGATGGGCGATCAACCAATAATTTAATCGAACCCGATGCATCGGGCACATTTCGGCTACTGAGGGCCACTTTCCACGTTGGGCGCAGATATCACTATCGTCACCTGACCATTGCGTGTTTGTTACCCAAAACCTGGCCACCGATCCTTATTTTAGCCTCTCGGTTCGTTTATTGACTTTCAGTCTTACTATCCCTGCAGTGGAAATAGGTAGGCAGCCACTGAGAAACCAGGAATAAGCAGGCGGTTTCTGCTCATGGTCGCTGCCCCGGCCGGCGACTGGCAAAGAGGCGGAAGGGGCAGAGAGACGGTCTGAACGCAATTAATAGTGGAAATCTGCCGTGTTTGCCGTGCTCCTCCTCTTCTTCCCTTGCCCTATCTCTCTTTTCGACGATTGAGAGTTATTTTCTGGCTCGTCTGCGAGTTATTTTATTGTTTTGCAGGCCTTGCGCGTTTTCGCCCACTGTCGCGTGCGGTCCCCGGAAATTTTCGATGTCTTGGATATGCACCTTTAATCTTCCATTCGGTTGATAGTACGACTCGAGTAGCGGATTGTCGCATTTATTTATTCACTCGCGAGCCTACAGAAGAGCTACTATAGACTCACTGAAGAGTCATTAATTTTTTTCTTAGACAGAGGTTGGTCTTCTTCACTGGACACGCAGGCGCATTGGCGTGATTAAAATAGCAGTGTAGTAACCCCATGAGAAGATTTTGAGCAGCGTTTTTAAAAAGTCTCATTGCAAAATCCCCTCAACACAGTCATTTTGCCCATCCGCAACTTGTGAGTAAGTCAATCCGTGCCTCTTAGGATTTTCTGATTTCACAGGATGACGGTCCAATTGGGATGAATGTTGTGGTTCTGAGCTGACTGTATAAGCGAGCTCAGCCGTCATATTACAGGAGAGCAACCAACACCCTTCACTAAAACACACCAAGAGGTTTTGATCTTTTGATTCAAGAGCCCCGGAGCTGAGACAATGCAAGTCGAGGACCGCCTGGAAAATGAGGCCATTCTGCGTGTTGCTGAGACCGGGACCATACGAGGTCTTGGCGTCTTTGCCAAGGCCAATGTTCCTCAAGGGCACAGAGTGATATTCGAAAGACCAGTCATGTCCTGTGCGGCGGCGACGCTCACCAATGCATCGTTGTATTACGAGTGGACCAAGATTGGCGTAGAAGGGCAGAACCGGCTGAAAAGGCTCTTTTGGAAGCTCAGGTTGCTTCCCTCGTCTGAGAACCCGGGGTTCTATACCATGCGCCGGCTGAACAGCTTCGTGCGCGAGCATGCCTACCTCCAGAAATCGGATCCGAAGAAGGCCAACGTTTACAAATGGTGCTCCTACCTCAACCATGCATGCGGGAAGTGTGCGAATGCCGAGTATACGGTGGACTCTTTCTCAGGTGCCATCTCCGTCACCACCACCAGACCAGTTCAAGCGGGAGAGGAGGTTATCGTGAATTATAACCGTGGGAAACAGAACCTCCACTGCACTGCATGCAAACCACCAGGTACATTCCGGAGAAATTGGACCTTACTTCGGTATCGATTCTTGCGATGGAGCGCGCGGAGAGCGTGGTCTGTAGGAGGGGAAGAGCCGACGCTTTTCCCTCCAGAGTATGACGCAGCGGTTGTGCCAACGCCAGAAGGCAAACCTGCTGTGACAGGGCAGCTTGAGGGATCTGGGAGCACCAGCACTATCTCGCCAGAAGCGCCACGTGAAAGTGGCGCGATATTTGCTCGCCTTAGAAGGGGTTATCTGAGTATGATGGCATTCTTCCGCAAGAGACAGTCGCCCGCTGGCCAGGATGCTAAGGACATTGAGCTCGAGAGCGAAAATGACACTGCAGATCGTGGGAACCAGGCACAATGATGTCTGATAGGGCCAGTATACTTTGTAAACGTCAGGATTAGTTATTCATGCACATATATAGCGAGTTCATTTTGGATGATGGGGAGTTTAAGTTATTTGCTTTGCAAAGCGGACAATGCTTATTTTATTTGTACTATCATGGTACCCATTGTCATCAGCAACTTTGGTAACACGGCTTGACATGCCCAACTACCAAAACCAGTCCTTTTCGCCCGTAAATGTCCATGAATGCAGAAACCAGCCCCCAAAGACCGCAACCTTCTTACTTGAGAGGAATGAATCGAGAAGAGTGCGTGGCACCAATACCAGGTCGGCCGTGCTTGACGGGCTTGCTGCAAAGATTGTCAGAAACCAAAGATACAACCATCAAAAGAAATACCTCGTCGAAGGATGAGAAAAGTGACGTACTATGAGATAGAGAATTCAGCCAGGTAGTGGCCAACCATCTCAGGCTTGATCTCCACCTGGTTGAACTCCTTGCCGGAGTAGATGCTGATGACGCTGCCAATCATCTCGGGGACGACAATCATGTCACGGAGATGGGTCTTGACGGGGTCGGGCTTCTCGTTGGGCTTGGCCTCCTGCTTGGCCTTGCGGAGCTTCTTGATGAGGCCCATGGGGCGGCGCTTCAGGCCGCGGTTGATCCTGCGGCGGGCGCGGGCGTGAACGACATCACGGAGCTGGTCAGAGCTGAGGTCGAGGAGGCTAGAGAAGGAATGTTAGTCTTCTTTTTTGCCCTTGGTCTCTTTTTTTGTGCGTATTTGATGGTGGTTCATTGAAGTCGTATCGATTGGGGGGGACTGTTGTTTCGTGGGATGTGCGCGGAAGGGCAAATGAATTCGGCCGTGTGTCTGGTCAAAAAACGTACTTGTCAAGTTCGATTCCTCGGAAGGTGAACTTGCGGAAGGCTCTTCTCTTCTTGAGCTCAGCGGCCTCCTCGGCGTTCTAGACAAGCAGAGCGTCAGTCAAAATTGTTTCCTCGGCCAATGGATGGAATCATATTGTCGTCTTCGTCGCTGGAGAAGGGGAGGGACGGCAGCACGTCGGGAGTGCGGGAATGAGACAGAGGGGGGAGAGAGATGGACGTACGTATTCGTCAGCCATGATCGCGGTGTTGATTGATTATTGAGTCGCTACCGATTCGCAGGGTATCAGGAGCGATCGTGTGGCCGTGATGGAGTCGTTACTTGTATGGCGATTGCACTCGCTTGGGGCTGGTTGACGAATTGGGCCAAATTTTCCCATACGTAGGGTTTCTGTGCCCTTCACCCCTCATGTCACCTGACCAGTTTGTGTGCGTTGTGGGCGAGGCCAATTCTTGGGTGGGCGATTACATAAGGCGCACCAACTGCATCTAACTTTCTTATCTAATCAGCTCATCGGCTTCTTCAAAGTTCACCAATAATAAATGCAGTGCGCTGCAGAATAACCCTTCAGCAGAGGTTATTAAATACTCTCTCATGGCTAAATCAACTCTTGCCGTCGTTTAAGACCACATACATACTGTTTTCTGTATTGCTATTTGCTGGACCATATCTGGACACTCGCCCATTTTACATTGCGATTCGGACAAGAAGCGAATAGGTAGGCTGATAGACAACATACACTCTTCATTGCTCAATTTCACCAATCAGGAATACGAGCAATTGGTTCTCTCAAAGTTCACTGGAGCAAAACCTTCATGCTTATCAAAGGAGGCCCTTGCTGCATTGCCCTTAAGGGAATCCGCACGGCTAATCTTACTATAATCAATGAGCCGCAATGCTCAATGTGATGTTCTTTCGTCAAGCAGCGAGAGGAGGGCCCCGACTTCGGTTCATATTGTTCCACTCCTCAACGTAGTGCCGCTGACGTACCTACGTGAACAATGGAGAGAAGAGTGCTCTTAGGCCTAGCTCCCATAATAATCTCCATTTTAGTGTGAACCATTGGATCGTACATGGTCAAGGATAAAGGTAGCATGCCATACTTGCCGACCTTGGTCCTTGGTCCACCTCCCCATTTGACGACAGCATCGAGATCATGTATTCTCTTTGAAGACAACTGCATAATAGGTAAGTATTTCTGACGTTAACCCCTTCGGCCGCGATGGCCTATTTCGACATATGTGCTTGAAGCCTTGTTTGGCGGCTAAATTTACGGGCTAGCCAAGAAGTATATCATCCACAGCCGCTCTCAAGTGCACAGTACCTATCGTGAGCATAATTGAACAATGATTGCATTCGCCAATGCGATTTTTATTTTGGGTGAGTGACGATGATGTATAAATACCTACCTGGGCACAATGCCAATGTCAAGGTCGTCCGGCGAGGGAAGCAGGTGCAGGAAGCGACGCCAGCAAACCCAATGTGTTGTCCGTCTATGGCGCCACTTGTGCTGGCACGAAAGAGATAACCAAGCTGAGCATTGTAGTTGTCCATACAGGACTAGCGAGCCCGCCCGTTCAAGGATGTCTTTTCTTTTTCTGTCCCTTTCCTGGTAGCTGGAGCATGAGTGCCTTTCCCAAAACGCTGCCAGTTGCTGAATGTGCCTGGCAGTCGCCTGCGGTGGGCTCAGGGGTGGCCATGATAGTGGAGCTCACCCCCTGCGTTTGACAACCACCCCAAGTCTAGGGGGAGCCAGTGGGCGTTAGATAATTAGCGGTGAGGGGTATCTGATACCTCGCTTCTCAATTCCAGTAGGCCTAAGATGAAGTAGACTCTACGGCAGCGCCACCCAGGTCGACCCCGCTGTGCCCACCATCCATCCGCCAGAAAAGCATCTGGGAGCTTTCTCCTCCTCACCTTGCGCTCTGCGCGTAGCATACCTTTCTTCTACACTCCGTTTTCGCTTCCACCTCCCAATCCGGTTTCATTCTCGACAGGTTTCGAGGAAATTTGTTCATCATGAAGGGCGAGGTAAGAATTTGAGACATCCCCGCTGGGTTTTGGGCGACAAACGAGCCTCGGCTGTTTGGTTGCTCGATATGTCTCGCCCCCTAAGACTATCGCGGCGGGCCTCACCACCACGTCGTACCCAGATCACACATACTGACAGCCCATTTCTTAGATTCTTCACCTGCACATTGGCCAGGCTGGTACCCAGCTTGGTAACTCTGCCTGGGAGCTGTATGTTGTTATTTCTTTCATTAATGTGCCTACCAGTCCCTTCTCGCGGGGCATTCAGGGCTAACTCTGGGTGTCTTCTAGCTACCTCCTGGAGCACGGCCTCGGCCCCGATGGTCGCCCCGACCCCAATGCTAAGGATCTCGGCGACCAAGGCTCGTTCGAGACCTTTTTTACTGAGACGAGCGGTGGCAAGCACGTTCCTCGATCGCTGTTCATCGATCTTGATCCTTCGCCTATCGATGAAATCCGAACCGGTAACTACCGCCAGCTCTTCCACCCTGAGATGTTGATCAGCGGTAAGGAAGATGCTGCCAACAACTACGCTCGTGGCCACTACACGATTGGAAAGGAAATGGTCGACAATGTTATTGACCGCATTCGCCGCGTCGCTGGTGAGTTTCAAGCCGGATCCTAAGCATCAACCACTGGTGTCTAATGTGGGTCAATTCATGCAGACAACTGCCACTCCCTCCAGGGCTTCCTCATCTTCCACTCCTTTGGTGGTGGCACTGGCTCTGGTTTTGGCGCTCTTCTGCTCGAACGCCTTTCCACCGAGTACGGAAAGAAGACCAAGCTCGAGTTCGCCGTCTACCCTGCCCCCCGCGTTTCCACTGCCGTTGTCGAGCCTTACAATGCCGTTCTGTCAACTCACAGCACCATTGAGAACTCTGACTGCACTTTCCTCGTCGACAATGAAGCTGTTTACGACATTTGCCGTCGCAACCTCGATATTCCTCGTCCTTCATACGAGCATCTTAACCGCTTGATTGCCCAGGTAGTCAGCTCCATCACCTCGTCCCTGCGATTCGATGGTGCTCTCAATGTCGACTTGAACGAGTTCCAGACCAACTTGGTCCCTTACCCTCGTATCCACTACCCTCTTATCAGCTACGCCCCCGTCATTTCCTCCGCCAAGAGCAAGCACGAGAGCTTCAAGGTTCATGACCTTACCTTCCAGTGTAAGTTATTCCTTTGCCGTACAACCTGAGTTGAGACACGTCCCCACGAAACCCGCTGACATCCACCGCTAGGCTTCGAGCCCAACAACCAGATGGTTGTTTGCGACCCTCGCAACGGAAAGTACATGGCTGTTGCTCTGCTCTACCGTGGTGATGTTGTTCCTCGTGACTGCTCCGTCGCCATCGCTGCCCTCAAGGCCAAGTCCTCTTTCAACTTGGTCGAGTGGTGCCCTACTGGATTCAAGCTAGGTATCAACTACCAGAAGCCTGTTGCTGTCCCTGCCCCTGCTGAGGATGGCGGTCTTGCCTCCGTTGAGCGCTCTGTTTCTATGCTGTCCAACACCACTGCCATTGCTGAGGCTTGGTCTCGCCTTGACTACAAGTTCGATCTCATGCACAGCAAGCGCGCTTTCGTCCACTGGTATGTGGGTGAGGGTATGGAGGAAGGTGAATTCACTGAGGCCCGTGAGGATCTTGCTGCTCTTGAGAAGGATTACGAGGAGGTCGCCGCCGACAGTTTCGAGCCTGAGGAGGGCGACGCTGAATACTAAACCACGCCAGCCCCCTTCGTTGATGCCAGCCTGTCGACTTATTTGAACTTCGCTTTTGCTATGGCCAATCTCTGCTAGAAGAGGTATTGCAAGACCCTAAATTGCATGACAAGGAAATGCGACAAAGAAATTGTTCTTTTGCGCCTGCTTTTCTTGGGTTTTCGAATTGGAAACAACCTTGGTAGAGGCTGCAGGGTCGCTATGGAGTGTTTGGTTCAAAGTGCCCTTCTGATAGGAATGTCCTCTTGGAATCGAGTCTAATATATGCAACCATCTTTTTTTCTGTTCACACCGAGTTGATTTTTTCCTTCAAAAGCAAGCAGGCACATATAAATGTTGATATCCGTTTTATACTATGATTGGCTGACTGGATGCATGATTCCTCAGTTGTAACTCATGAATGTGACCTTTAAGCTGGTTAGCTGGTTTCATTGGCACGTAACTTTCAAGGGTTGTAGTGATAATGATGCATGATTACTATATATACTCAGTTTCATATGTACTTTTACAGTGCCGAGGCGATAGTTTTCAGCTAAGCTGCGGTCTCTCTTCGCTTCTTCTTCCACTCAGCAGCTCTGCGAGCACCCCGTCCTGTAGGCTGGCTTCCCTTCTTGCCCCTTAGTTTCTTTGAAAGTCTTTTCCCCTTAGCTGCACCGGTCCTCACCGAAGCCCTTGTACCTTCGAAGACGATCTCTTCGGGAGTCTTCAGCACAGTTGAGGGAACATCATTATCCTTGTTATCTGTGACTCGTGCCTTCCTGCGTTCAGCAGCAGCTCCAGATCGGCCGAGAAGCTTGGCTGCACGACCGCCCATAGAGAGCTCCTCAGGCGTAAGTTTCTTCCTGTACTTTGTGTTCTTGGAGTCGCCATTGACCCCCTTGCCAGACTCAGCGAGTCGCTTCTGTGCCTGGGCAGTCTTGCGCGGATCCTTGGCTCTCGTTACACGAAGAGCGCGCGGCAGCATGGGAGGGAACTTCTTCCCGTCAAGGAGTAGCGCCGACTCGACAGCATTTCCATCCTACAGGTCCGTTAGAAAAGGGGGCTTCGGGGCATAGCGTTCACACCGCTTGAACTTACGTAGAACTGCACGTAGGCAAAGCCTTTGCCTACTCTGGTCTTGGGATCTCGCACCACACGGACATTCTCGACCTTGCCCTGGGTGCTGAATGTTCGCCACAGGCCTTCCTCGACGTCGGAAGGAGTCTTGTTCCGTTTCTTCTGTACCGTCTCACCCTCCTCAGTCTTTTGGAGAATCGACTCGTCATCCACAAACCCCAGATTCCCCACAAAGACGCATCGTCTGTGGTCTGTGGGGCTTGGGTGAGCAACACTATCAACCCTAATGTGTCGTCCTAGAACTTCCGTTCCATTCAGTGTGCTGACTGCTTTCCTGGCACCTGCAGCAGAAGAGTAAACAGCATACGCATTAGCCGACTTTGTTGTCGCATCCATCAACTGCTTGGTGATGTAAGCAGCTCTTTTGGGCATCGCTCCAACAGAAAAGGCGACAGATCGGAAACGGATGGATTCGACTTTGTCATCTCCTTCCAGCACGGAGCTGAGGTGGTTAATCAATGTTTTCTTGGCAGCCTTTGACCCAACCGCCTCCGAGGAGACGTTGGCTAAGAAAACGGTTCGATCAGCCTTTTCCAGCTCTGAAGACTTCGCATCCTTGGCCAGCGATTCGTGTTGTGGGATTCCATCGTCGCCATCCTCGTTATCATCGCCAGTAGCCGACCCGCCCTTCTGGCGCTTGCCCGCTGGTGCTTCCGTAGCATCGTCTGCAAGTTTGCTCAGATAGCGATCCTCCAATTCTCCATTGTCATCCTTCCTTTTCCGCTTGCGTTCCCTCTTTGGCTTGGCTGATTCTGGGGATGCGACTGTCATCTCAACGTCCTCGCTGGCGACTTCTTTCGGCTCATCAGAGCCGTCTTCCTTTTCCAAGGGAGCTCCCTCATCATCATCCTCATCCTCATCATCCTGCTCTTCATCGACTTCCTCATCGTCATAGTCTAGTTCCTGGCTAGCTTCAGGAAGCACTTCGTCTTCATCTCCCTCAATTGGGCTTTCGGCCTCATCATCAGAGCCATCATCCTGGGCTTGTTTTGGTGCTGAGTCCTCAGCCTTCTTTTCCGAGAGGCTGCTATAGCGTGACTTTGGAGGAGCTTTCACAGGTCCGGACTAGATTGATTGAACCTGTCAGAACATTGTCGCAATCGATTCCACAAGGAATCACTTACACTGGCAGAGAACAGTGCATCGAGTGTGGGGTCTATCGCACTTGACGAAGCAGTCAAGGACACTTCCTTGTTTCTATGGAACAAAAAAAATCAGTAAATCGTTTCGAGGAAATGGATTGCATCGCAGGGTTTCTCGCGCACTTTTTGGCCATTATGAGGGCGTGATTTTATAGTCGCCCAGTTTCTGATGGTTGTACCTTGTGGAAACAACTTTTTTTCAATGGTTGTATCAAAAATGCTGTTTGGCAGAATTGCCTAAAAAAAATTAGGCGGTCAGCGATCACTGATAACGCGATAACAAAAGACGGTACCTCACGAACTGGGTCTGGGAGTGCGTCATTCGCCCATCCGCATTGGTGCCGCGGCTGGCCGATGCGCGCACCCCCCCAAATCTGGAGCTTTCTGCCGGCAGTCACCGCTTTACAAGTCACCCAGCCCGCTTCCTGGTGGGTAGCAAAGCAGCGTGCATCGGCTTCCCTTTCTGCGGTCCTGGATCGCCTTTCCCACCTGACTGTCGTTTCCGCCTCTCTTCTCTCCAAAGCCACTCCGCCGCCAATATTACTGCTCCTGCATTGGGCGTTGGGCCACTGAAGCAGTTATTTTAACCTTATAGTCCTCGACTTTTTTATTTTTCAATTTCACTCTACGATTGTCTTGTTACCAACCTTGCTGTCCTGGCAGTCCAAATTGGTAGGGTCAATCCAGCCCGGCCCCCTCGACGATTGCTCTGCCCCCCATCTTCGCAGCTGCGGCCGTCGCTTTCAGTCGATCGGAATAACACATACTGGCCGACAGCACCTGAAGCTCCAGTGCGATGGCAGCGACCGCTGCACTGCTGCCTACCCTGGCTCGGTCCAGCAATGGTGCTGCAGACCCAGAGGATAGCAACATTTCGAGCCCTTTGAGCGACGTCGATGATAAAGACACAAACGACGAGGACATAGACATACATATTGGGCATCATCAGGATGACGACATTTCGAATCAAAGTATCGACGATCCCCAAGACCCAAATCGCGCTGCGTCAGACTCCGACAGTGCGCTCTCAGACGCTCGGTCGGTAGCTCACAGCGACGCGAATGATACAGAGGCTGAAACTGAGAGGCTCTACGATACGCCGCGGCACCAGCGACTTCGTGACGTGACAGTGGACAACTTCAATGATGACCAGATGCTCGAACGCACACCTAGCAAGCTGCGCAGGGCAGCACTGATCGACGAGGATGATGATCAAGCCGACAACGAGTCACTTCCTGGAAATGTAGCCATGAGCATTTCAGGTCACAGTGATGACATTGAATCACCCAGCAAGCCGGCTCCGTTGGAGAATGCAGATGCCGACACTGAGGCGCATCAAGCCTCGAAGGAACGAAAACGCAAACGCTCGCCTGCAGCCGACACACCAGACTCAGAACAGCCTACGAGGAAGAGGACAGGCTCTGTTGGAGCTGTCCCGCATGAAGAAAATCAAGATCTGGGCGCAGTTGGTGATGAGGGCACTCCATTGAACAACATCTCGAGCGGAGCCCAGTCAGTGGGCGACGAGGAGGCGGTTTCTCCCGAAAAGCTTGATTCTAGTCACGAGGAACCAAACCAAGAACGCGAAACACGCGGAAAAAAGAAGTCCAAACGAAATGGTGTCAAGCCGAAAGCTCCCATCGTCGACGACAGCGACACAGTGGCCACCATTGAGGGCCATGACGGCACCGAAGACGAGCCCGCGCATCACGACGAAGTTATCGAGGCTGAAGCTGAGGAGGAAACAGATATTGCGGCAAAGAACGCCGAAGAATGTGAGTTCGCTTGGCTTCTAGCGCCACTCTCACAGTCCAGACTGACCTTGTGATCTTAGTGGAACGAAAGCAGGCAGCGTTCAAGGATTGGACTCGCATAGAAGACATGTTCGGTGTTTTTAGGGACAGGTGAGTTGAGCCTATTCATTTCTATGCTTATGTTGTCTAACCTTTAGCAGGCTCTACAAAGACCGTCTACAGCGGCTTGAAGAAGAGGAGCAATCACTCCTCGCGGATGAGCCGACACATCCTGAATATCTCAACATGAAGCGCTGCCTCGACGAGCGACTAGATCGAAAGTTGGAAGAAATTAACAAAGAGCATGAGCTTCGAATGAGAGCACACGAAAGGCGCTCTGTTGCTATTCGATCTCAAGCCTGGAGCCAATTCTTCCAGAGCATCCGTGAGACTCGAGAGCGAACCCTTGAATCCTTGAACAGGGACTGGTATGATGTGCAAACCACGAGACGAAGCGCCCATAGCTTGCCAGAGTGCAGCATTGTGTTCCCCAAAGACCCAGCGCAACGCGTAAAGAACGCAGTTGCCTATAACAAGGAAGTTGCCACTTTAGCAGGGATTGCCAAATATGAAGGTTTCCCCGCAGGCCCTGAGATTAAAGGAGCATCAGAATCGGAATTGGCTAACGATTTAGCCGCGATGGATGTAAGTCGTCTTCCTCGTCCTGTCGGTGGTGTTGAATCTTAGCTACAGTGAGCTAATCATTCTGGGTTCCGACAGGGCCAACGTGGAAGACAAAAGCAGCCTTTCCAGCCACCGAGGGAGGAGTACCAAGCGTCAACATTCAATCGCCTCGGTCCAGCTGGAGAGCAGTTTCTTAAAGACACACCATGGGCGAATCCCAACCATTCTTCTCATAAGACACTATTACCGCCAACATCCACACAGATGGATGGAAGGGCAGAGCAGGCTCTACTAGCTGGAAGAGCACAGCCTCTGCCAAGCGCTCAGATGCCGCCAGTCGAAGTTGAAACGCCACTGTCAACCCAAAGGGTTCCAGCTCTCTCGGTATCACCAGAAGTCACTCGGGCATCTTTGAAACCCGGCGGCCCATCTAAGAAGGCAAGCAACATGCCAAGCTTGGCGCGAACCTCGAAGACAGCCGCCGCATAGGAAGGTCTGTTTCCAGTTCATTCACCGTTTTGGCTGTGACTTAATCTTCGGGGGAGGGCATTGTTTTGAGAGGAGGAAGGCTGCATCTGCTTTAAACTAAGATACCCAGAAGGCATTCAAGATTTGCAACACGTTGTTTTATTTCCCTTCTCACTAATCGAGGCAGGGATTGGTATTTGCATTGCACGGAATTGTTTTGAGGTTGGGTGTTGGGCAGATAAGGAATCTGGGACGTCATTACTTTCATACATGAGAACAGGGTTTAGATGTTTATGGTCCAAGACGGAGTTGGCTATTGTACACTGGTGTTTCTTCGTTCAGAAACGGGGTTTGGCTCAAGAGCTGTCGGTATCATCCTTCTGAATCGAACAGAACAATGAGATTTTCAGGGCACTACATAATTTCTTTTTCTTGTTTTTTTTTTTCCTCCATCATAACAGATGTACGAGTCAGTTGTTTATTTTGAGTTGGATGGCGCTCGGGGTACATCGGGGACCTTGACATCTTCGAAATCGTCCTGGCCGACCTGGCGCAAGGTGTAGGCATCTGCATTAATGTTAGAATAAGGTAGCAAACCAGACCACTTCGCATATCTCTCCCAAACATACAGATCCCTGCAACGATCATTGTTAACCCAATACCAGTGGCGGCATTCTTTGCTAAGTATGGCTTTCGGGCACGGAGGAGGGAGGGGCCCTGGCGATACTGGCGATCGTAGTATGTTCCGTGAGGGTTTCTATTCGGAATCGTTAGCCTGAGCCTGGGGATAACGTGGGGTGGCAAACGGTGTATGGGTCGTACGCGGCCATTGTGTAGTTTTGAGGATTGGGCAACCCGTATCGTATGTGTCGTTGATCCAGGAAATGGTTGACTGCAACCCCAATGATATCGGGAATTGGCGAGGAATTCTGAGGTCGGATCTATCACATCGAACCACTTCACAATCTCGGTACGGTCGCAGGACCGGGTAATCGCCGGAAAAGCAAAGTGACGTATAAGACCCCTGACAAAATAGAGCCTCAGTGTATGATCCAGATATGCACAAAGAAAGATACATGTTCCAGAATGATATTTTGTTAATGTATCATATTTATTTCAATCGCCTAATTGAACGCGCCCTCTCAATTACCCAAGAAAGACCATTTCGCCGGGTTCTCCTGCAGTGCTGTTCTGAGCTGGCACGCCCTGTTGGATAGTGGATCTGCGCGCCTAAATTTGTCCTCCTATCCTCCACTGCCCTGCACTTGTGCATCTGCCTTAGAAAGTTGGCAGCTTGCTTGACCCGCGTCAAACGCTAGGCGAAGCCTTTTGAAGCTCCCACTTTCATTGTCTCAACACACGCATAAAGAGAACGCGACCAAAAGAGATTCTGGCCATCTTATCACGCGACTCAGTCCCAATCATCTCTCACGTATTGTGATACCTGGCGATTACGACAACCGGCTTGCGCGATCCTACGAATGTAGAGCATGAAGATACGGCCTAAAAGCTAATTGATGCTTTGCTCACTTGCGCGCGTGCCTCGAGAAGCCGCACAACCATATCCATAAGCGACCAGCGACGCACTCGATTTCGAACCCAATAGAGTCGCTGGCCTCGTAAACAGTATCTTTCTTTGCTTCAGGGCAATTGCGCCCACGATATCGCCATGGCGTCGGACGGCCTCTCCTTGCCGGATCAGATTCGCCAGCTGAACGACGCACGAGTCCTTGTTCTCGGTGATGTCAAATACTACCCCAGCGTCGTGAAAAGCATCCTACCGATAGTTGGTCCTACTTCGGCTATTGAGCTACGACGATGGGGGGCGGAATTCTTAGCCGAGGCGTTCGCGACGCCGGCGCTGCCTAATGGGGAGAAGGAAACGATGCAGCCGTTTGTGCTGGCGACCCTGGAGTCGCTGTTAGAGAACGAGGCAGAAGATGAACAGGTCCTACGCAGTGTGATCCAGACTGCAGCCAGCATCTATCCGCTGGCGATGCGCTGGATGTAAGTAATACCATACCAAGAAGTGAGCTGATGGAGGCTAACCACAACGATGCGGTTTTCTCTGCCTTTAGAATCAACAATAGCTACGATACAGTGACCTGGGAAAGAATGGTGGGTATTAAGCAGAGAATACTCAGAACCTGGGACCAGGCCACTCCTTCGGTAAAGATATGCTGTATAAAGTTTGCCCAGCGCGTGATTCTAGCACAAACTCCATCAAATGGTGCCGAGTCAAGAGTATG